CCACCCCTCTCCCTCGCACCTCACATCCGCCAAACAGTCAAAACCTCATTTTTCCACCTCCGCAATATTGCAAAAATCCTATCCTCTCTCACCCGCCCCGCAGCCGAATGACTAATCCATGCCTTCATTTCCTCCCGCCTTGACTACTGCAACTCACTTCTTTACGGCATCAGCTCTACATCCCTCAACAGACTCCAACGGGTTCAAAATGCAGCTGCACGTCTCCTCACGCATACCAAATCATGGCATCACATCACCCCAGTCCTCAAAGACCTCCACTGGCTAACCCATTGCATCAACTACAAAATTCTGGTCCTCACCTACAAAGCACTCCACCATTTGGCCCCCCCTTATCTCACAAACCTTCTCACTCCTTATCAACCCCCCACGGTCCCCCAGATCCACCGCAGCCGGACTCCTATCCATTCCCACATCCACACTCTGCAGCTTTGGGGACAGAGCCTTCTCAGTGGCAGCCCCTAGGCTCTGGAATTCCCTCCCCCAAGATCTCTGTGACTCTGAGTCCCTCACAGGCTTTCAGTCCCGCCTCAAAACACATCTTTTCAACTCTGTCTACCCATAAGCCCCCCCCCCCCTCTCAATCAACTTCCTCTTGACTGCCTTTTTATTTTTTTTTTTTACTATACTTACTTGTTTGCCTGTCCTTGTTTGTCTACCCTCCCTCATATTGTAAAGCGTCTTTGAGTTGTGAAAAGCGCTATATAAATAAAATGCATTATTATTATTATTACTAGCTAAGCATATTTTCAGCTCGCTTGGAACCTCGACTGAGGTGGTTCTAAAAAAGTACCAGTGAGGCGGTACTACCCCTGGTGGAAAAGCAAAAAGAGCGAGCCAAGCCAAGCCTTGCTAAAACCCTGCAGTGGAAATGCGCCGGGGCCAGATGGTGAGCTTAATCTGGGTTATTGAGGACACNATGAGACCCAAGGTCGCTTTACAAAGAAGAACAGGAGTAGGAACAAACATAACAAAAACAAAAGGCAGTCAGACAAACAGTCAGACAGACAAAACAGCATTGCTGTTTTGTCTGTCTGACTGTTTGTCTGACTGCCTTTTGTTTTTGTTATGTTTGTTCCTACTCCTGTTCTTCTTTGTAAAGCGACCTTGGGTCTCATGAAAGGCGCTATATAAATCCAAGCTATTATTATTATTAATACTCAGACTGCAATTGTAAACCAGAACACTTTTGAAACCAAAGGCTGGTTCTATATGGTAACCCCCAATTTGTTAGAACCATAGACTGTCTATATAGGTGCAATTTAAAGATTTTAAGGAAGGATTCAGTCATGGTGCACCCAGAGTCCTGCAAATCAACGCAACTGATACCAAACCCTTTTCCTGTTGCCCACAGATTTTTATGCAGATACAGATGTAGTTTATAAAGATTTAATTATGGGAAATTAAGTGAACTATACAGTAGTAGAAGGCATAACATCCTGAATAAGAACGTACTTAAAAAACGTAAATGAATGATCACAAAATAAGTATAAAAAAATCAACAATATGTAAAAAAAAAGAGAGAAATAAGTGTGTATGTACTGCCGTACCTTTCTCTGACTGTCCGGGCTGCTTGGCCTTCACCTTGTGTATGTAACGTTTCTTTAACGTCCTGGAGAATGTGTCCGAGAGGCAGCAGAAAGGAGAGCTGCTGTCAGTCACACACTCCTCCCAGAACAACAGCACAGCCCTCGTTCTCTGCGTCTTAGGCAGGACTGAAGAAGAAGAGAAGGGAGGATGTAAATCCAAAATAGATTCATTTATGATGTCAATTTTTCCACAAAAGTTTGTTGTTGACTATGTTATAATCAGAGTATACTGTACATATTTGTTGGCCTATTTATGCACTAAGAGTGCTCTGCTCTAAACTCACTGTCTCGAGCACAGAGGCTGTCGTTCTTCTCCAGTAGCAGACAGCTGATCCTGTCCAGGACTTCAGCTTGCAGAGACATTTCCTCCAGCAGCTCCCTCCGAGATGGGCCGAAGTCGGTGGTTGTTATCCTCTGAGGAAACATTATGAGGATTTGTTAACATTTCGACAGGCAAGTGGAGGATGGATACAGATGAGGGGCAGCAAGACAGAAAAATATGTTAACCACTGATCCAAAAACATTATTAATGTGGACTAAGCTTTGATTCTCTGCCATTACAATCTAGCCTTTAATTTCATTAAATTCCCTCTGTTTGAACTGGATTAACCTCCAACCAAAGCCTGTGATACAGCTTTGAAGAAACATTTGTTACGAGAAACTGCATGTCGTAGATCAAGTCACCACTACCACGCTTCTAATACTTTCGAAAAAGGTATTCATAGCATGCAGCAACTTCCTAAAAACCTATATATAGATCAACTAAAATAATTCCTCTCATGTATCACTTATGACTGAGTACAAATGTGCCACGGTCCTCTTCCTGTATTTTGTCTTTTCTTTATTAATGTGCTATGTTTGTAACGTTTCTGTTCACTTTGGGCCCCATATTGGGAGGTAGACATTTTTGTTGTTGATTGGGCTTGGTCCAAAACATTTTACGTGGTTCTGGGTGGGGTTTAGATGGAAACAATGTGGGTTCATGTGCGTTGTGCCTAATTATTAGGATAACTCTAATGTGGACATAGCTCATTAAAACACTATACCTGGAGCAGGATACAACAAATATCCAGGTGACTCTCAAGAGCCTGGTCTAGACCCCAATTCCCAGAAGTCAGAGGTGTGATGACCAACTCTTCCTCTGAAGTTGATTGGAAGCCAAGACTCTTTGCAGTGCTCTGCTGCAAAGAACTGATGCTGATGGATGAAGAGAAAACATTAGATGAGTTGTTTCACATCTCATATCAGTGTGATTGATTATTATCTTTTGTCTGTTTAAACTCACCCACTGTCTTTTAGTCTTAGGCTACCTAAACAGGAAGTGTCATCATCCGCATTAAAGTCATTTGACAGGAAGTCAAAGCTTTCCAGGACTTCCTCCACAGCCAGAGTCTCCTCTGTGGAAGAAATTCTGAGCAGGGAGAGGTCGTTCTGTGGGTGAGCACATGCCACATCCATGCAGATAAAGATCACATCCAGGTGTGTGTATGTAAATCATGATTCAGGAGATTTAGGATGTTAGAAAGTTACTCAGTGGTACATGAAACGAAATTCTCCTGACTCTCGAGTCAAAGAGGGCCAAATCTTCTGCATCATTGGGAACAGCAAACATGCATTTTCCTTTAAGCCCCGCCTCAAATGTTCTTGGCTCAAATTAATGGAGAGGGGAAAAAACCTCTGGATTTGGCTTTTAGCACATTTAACAACTTTTAAGACCTGAGAGCTATTCAAGTGTACTGTGAAATTGATTAAGCTAATCAAAATTAGAATAAAAAAATTCTCCGCTGAATAACATACCTCTCTTTCCCAATGAAAGTCAATGAGTACATTTATTTTTGGCCCAAATGACATCACACGAATAACATGGAAGTTGAAGAATCATCGTTTGGCCACTATTTGCTTAATCACTTAGCTCACCTTCTGGAGGCTTGGTATACATACACACCTTCAGGATGGTAGCCAGGTGCAGTATCTGGTGGTCCAGGGCCCTCAGCTCCTTCTCAGAGCCGCTCTGGTTCTGTAACGTCTGTTCCAGCTCTGTGAACAGGGCTCCAAGCCTGACAGCCTGGGCCCTCCGATGGGCGCCGCTCCCCCCCAGCCCCCCCGGGGATGGAGCAGCAGCCAGGGGGGAGGAAGGAGGTGTGACCGGGGGTTGAGAACGGGATGTCGGTGATGCGGGGGCAGAATATGACTGACACTGTGAGGAGTCCTGGAATATATGCAGGGAAAGTTTAAAATGAGGCGAGGAGTGATAGAAATACCTGAAAATTATTTTGAAAGATTATTAGATTTTGGAGATGTGGCATTTTCTTAGCCATAAGAAATGCAGTTCAGTGAAAGTTGTCACAATGGGTCCCCTTAGCAATACTGTAGGGGTGAACAATAACTTGAGAAAAAGATGATATCATTGTTGGCTATTGGGATAACGATATTACTTGCAATATAGATATAAACACATAAAGTGTTGCCTTTGTGCTTTTACTATACTGCATAAATACAACAAATAAGGGCTGCAATAACTGAATATTTTCAAATGTTGATCAGTGCTTCCCAAATGATGATCTTGGGATGTTGTTAATGACTCCAGTGGAGCCAGAAGGTGTATTTTACCTGAGCGCTGACTGTGTCCTGTCCCAGCGCTGCACCGTGTTTCTCTGGGTCTGCTTCTCCAGCTGTGTTCTTCCTGAGGATGTCAGGAGTGCTGGACCTGTGGAACAGAAACAACTTTATATGTTAGCGTCTTATTAAAGGAGGTCTTACCATGTTGGCATTCATGAGAATCTGAATCAGAAATCCTATATTCGTCCCACAGCATGGAAATTAAACCGACAGTGGAGATAAAGGCAAATTAAGTAGGGTACAGTAAGCATATTAAATAAAAAGGCAAGCACCTTTTAATAACGATAAATAAATAATTTATATTGATTTGTTTACGACATCGCAACAATGCTTTTTCTTTAGGCAGCACTTTGAAAAATAGTTTATTAAAAGATAATGAAAATCTCTTGAGTTCATCCTCACCTCTGCAGAGCAAGCAGGGACCCTGCTTTACTCTGCGCCGGAATGGAGGAAGTATCCAACACACTTTCCCACTCCTCCTCTTCATCCTTCTCCTCCCTAGTCTCCCCCTCCTCTGTAGAGACCTCCAGGGACTCTTCCTCCTCGAAAGACAGCTGAGTCTGGCTTCCCCCCAGACTGGTGCCCTGACTGTAGCTGGAGGGGTAGCTGTGAGCCCGCATGCGACTGTGGATGAATTAGTTTTCATGAAAAGCATTCAAATAACACATACATCAATGCATTTTATAATCAGAACGTTTCTAAAATAGATGTGTGAATTACATTTGAATCACTTTATTGGACAAATACAGGAACCATATCTTTTGAATCTGACTTTAATCTGACTGGGTAAAAATCAAGATTTCCCCCAAAAATGTACCTTTATAGCAGGGGTGTCAAACTCAAGGCCTGTGGGCCAAATCCGGCCAGGGACCTAATGTTAAGTGGCCCGCAAGAGCTTGCAAAGAATATAATATACACTACAATTGGTGTAATTGTTGAATATTTGCTTTCAATTATGTGCCCTAGACTTCTGCATTCAGACGTAGTTATTTATGAAGTTATTAACAGAACTGATAATAATCCAATGCAGAGTCAATAATGTAATATAATAAATTATTTTATATTTATTATATATTTATATTTATATAGTCTTAAAGTTACAACCGGCCCGTTGAGTGCAACCATAATGCTAATGTGGCCCGCAATGAAATTGAGTTTGACACCCCTGCTTTAAAGCAATGGTCCCCAACCTAGAAGAGAAGGACCCTTAATGAAGGGAATCTGAGGGGTCACATGTGTAATTTTTGTCATATTTTTGTAAAGTACTGGATAAGTGATTTTCACTCCTTTATGTTGAAGGTAAAATCCTTCAAATAAAACAATCGGAGAAGTGGGACAAACCCCACTTTACCAGTGTGTCCTCTGTATCCACTGTTTAGCCTCTTTGTGTTTTCCTGTAACGCTTCACACCTGTAGGGGCTCTGCTGGCTGTGGTTTGGCGTGCCGGTGTGGGAGGGGTGGGACAGGTAGCTGAGCAGAGACACCCCCCCTCTGTTGTGTCGACTTTTAGACACCAGAGAGGGGAGGGAACCTTCTGGATCATGCAGCTCACGCATCATCGACTGCAGAGGAGAGAGGAGAATATATCGATTTAAAAATCACACTTTAGACTTTAAAGCCACTGGCTATAACTGACAGGAAAATGTAGTAATTTTATCAGCTAAATGCAATATTTGCAATATATTATGTGGTCATACGAATGAAGTCCTTTGCAGTTGAGGATATGGGAAAAGATAGATTTAATTTAGGTGCATTTTCTACAACTGCATGTGCATTTTCGTGGTGTTAAAGTCCTTATCTTGCGTAATTTACTGTAGCTGAAAGATCATAGAACTGTTTCAAAATGCATTAACTTGCTGGGTCTTATTCCAGTAACACGTGATATAGATCGAATATCGTTTCCTATTTGCTGTAAATCACTTGTTAATATCGGGAAAATGGGTCAAATTCAGAGGTATCCAGAAAAGTCTGGATTCAAACTTGCCGCTGCTGGTGCTGTGTGTGAACGTCACGTGTGGTCGCGAATTTCCTGGTTGAGTTCAGCCCGTTCCCAGCTCACCCAGTGTTCTGTTTCTAGCATTGCTGGGTATAGGCGGCATGTCAAACTTTGTGTATCAGTGTTTATCTCCGAGTTTGTCTTTTTTTTCCCGATTTCCCGAAAACTTTGAAGGATCATGGTGCAAGAG